TTTGCCTCAATTTCCTCATGTATAAAATGGAGAAAATAATAGCACCCACCTCCAAGGGTTGTTGTGAGGAGAAAATGAGGTGATATTTATAAAGTGCTTAGTACAGTTCCTGGCACATAGTATGCATTTAATAAATCCTTCCCTTTTCCCCTTCCTCCCTCCCTCTCTCTCTCTCTCTCTCTCTCTCTCTCTCTCTCTCTCTCTCTCTCCCTTCTTCCTTCCTTCCTTCCTTTCTTCCTTCCTTCCTTCCTTCCATCTTTCTTCCTCCTTTCCTCTTCCTTCCTTCCTTCCTTCACTCTTCCTTCCCTCTTCTTTTCTTCCTTCCCTCTACTTTCCTTCCTTCCTTTTTTCCTTCCTTTCTTCCTCCCTTCCCTCCTTCTTCCTCCCTTCCTCCCATCCATCATGTTAACCCCAAAATGCAATGCCACATCATGGTACACTACAAGCATCAAAGAAGTGAAGCTGGAAAAGACAAAAAGGTAATGGACAGATAAATGGTGCCTATGAGCAGGCTTCAAGTTATTGCTATAAGTAAGTACCAAATTGCATGGGGAAAAAATAGAGAAGTGTCACCAAAAATGGATTACAGGAAAGGAAGGGAGGCCAATAATGTTAGGAGAATGAAGGACAACTGATGGATGGTTCACATACTCTCCCAATAGCCTTACAATGTCAGGATGTCATAAGGAATCTCTACAGAATGTTGAGAGATCCTCCTCTGGGAAATTTTTGGAAGGACAAGAATGAGGTTATTACCAAGCAAAAAGGAGAGATGTTCTCAGATGTTTGTAAGGGTAAAAGCAAAAAGCAAAGAACATTTAAGGGACTCTTGGAATATCTGGTATATATTCTTGCCAGTGCCAGAAGAATGGCCCTGAGTTCTCTCAAATAATGAATCAAAGGCTTCATACAGATTGTTAAGGTCCCCTTACCACCCACTCTTCTCTGGGATTCTACATGGGATACACTGACTCAGATTCTATAGGAGAGGGGTAGAAAATTTCTAATGCACTGAGATGTTAGCAGGGATATAAAGGATTACTTAGAAATATATATATATATATATGTATATGTATATATATATATATATATATATATATATATATATATATATATGAAGGTTTATATGTATTTGTATTCTATAGCAAACACTATTAAGTCATTCACATTTTTTCAGAGTGAGTAAAGATTGCACTTGCAGTTATAGAATTCTATGAAGCAGTCATATCCTTGTATACATAATTAACAGGTCATAGAAATTACAGATGGGGGCAGCTAGGTGGTACAGTGGATAGGATTTTGGGCCTGGAGTTAGGAAGACTCATCTTCATGAGTTTAAATCTGAACTAAGACACTTACTAGCTATGTGGCCCTTGGTAAGTCACTTAACCCTATTTACCTCAGTTTCCTCATCTATAAAATGAGATGAAGAAGGAAATGGCAAACCACTTCAGTATTATTGCCAAGAAAACCCCAAATGCAGTCATGAAGACTTGGATATGACTGAAAAATGACTGGAGAAGAAGAATAAATTAGAGATGACACTTCATAGAAAGCATTGCAGTAATCAAAGTCCACTTTCTTCTCCTCAATCTACTACCCACATTGGCAGTGCCCTCTGTAACAACTCAACCTTCATTTCCCTATTCCTCAGAACCCTATCACTGACACTTTGGGGAGTCTCTTCACCTGGTGGTCTGGGCCAGGAAGTGATTATTTCGTTGAGTGCACCTCATGGTGGAAGTTTCTCCAGGATGGGAAGGCAGCTGAAGAGAAAGTTGTGAGGTAGATCATATTTATAAGTGATAATGCTGAGATTCAAATGCAGACACTCTGACTCCAAACGAGCCCTGGATTTGGAGTCAAGGACTCTACATTCAAACCCTATGACTGCCACTTAGTCCTGTGTGATTTTGGGAAAGTTGTTTGACCTCTCAGGTTACACACCTGAAAAATGATAGGGTTGAGCTAGATGTGCTCTGAGGTTTATTCCAACTCTAAATTTATCAGCCTATAATCCTTCAGTCTGTTAGTAAGAAAGTGTATTTCAGAAAGCTGGAAATAGAGTCTGCTGACTTCCAAAAGACAATTTGTAATTTGAGTGGTCTAAAGAATGCCTATGCCCCAAACAAAAACAATGTAGCCAAAATTAGAAGGAAAGCAGGAAACCAGGAAATAATTTACAGAAAGTTTCACTGATAATGGACTCATTTCTCAAATATATAGGAAACCAAGCCAAATTTATAAAATTTAGAGCCATTCTTCAACTGATAAATGGCCAAAGCTTATGAATGGGCAATTTTCAGAAGAAGAAATTGAAGCTATCAATAGTCATATAAAAATACTCTAAATCACTAATAGAGAAATGCAAATTAAAACAACTCCATCATACTACCCTATACCTCACAGATCAGCAAACGGGACAGAAAAGGAAAGTGATGAAGGATGAGGGAGATGTTGAAAACTAAGGCATATACTAAGGTATATTACCCAGTGGGTGGAACTGTGAATTAGTCCAACCATTCTGATGAACAATTTTGAACTATGACCAAAGGGTTATAAAACTATGCATATCCTTTGAACCAACAACAATGCTCTTAGATCTGTATCTAAAAGAGATCAAAGAAAAATGAAAAGTGTTTATTTATACAAAAATATTTACAGCAGTTCTTTTCGTGGTGGCAAAGAATTAGAAATTGAGGTGACTCACTATCAACTGGGGAATGACTAAACAAATTGTGGCATATGATCGTGATGGAATACTATTGTGCTACAAGAAATGATAAAGGGGATGGTTTCAGAAAACCGGGGAAATCTCATATGAACTGATGCAAAGTGAAGTGAGCTGAACAAGGAGAATATTATAAACAGTAATAGTAATATTGCAATAATAATTGGCTGTGAAAACAGTTATTCTGATCAATACAATGATCCAGAATAATTTCAAAGGATACATGATAAAAAATGCCATCTACCTCCAGAGAGAGAAAAATGATTAACTCTGAGTGCAAATTGAAGCATGTTGTTTTTTACTTTATTTTTCTTGACATTTTTTTTTGCAACACAACTAATATGGAAATATGTTTTGAATTACTTCACATGTGTAATGGATATCATATTGCTTACCTTCTCAATGGGTAGGGAGGGGTGGGCAGGAGGGAGAGAATTTGAAACTCAAAATAAAATAAACTCCCTTTCCCAGAGAGTAAGGAGTGAGCAGTAGTAACAGATAGTTCCTTCTGGAACATCTTAGTGGCCTGGCAACCAGGAGACTGATCTGTCTTCTTTGTATACTCTCTCATTTGATGATTCTGGGAGGCTAGTCATTGACTCAACTGCAAAGATTCTAAAGCTTGCATTCAAGTTGCTGGTTGTATCACTGAGCACAACACTGGACAACAGATTGGAAAGGACTGTTTTTCTATGCTACCTAGTTTCACTTTTCTTGGGATAAGATGGAATAGGGCTTCACAAACTCTATTAATATTGCTTCTAGTGGATGTGGGAGGTGAGTGATAGATATAATCACTTCCTCACCCAAGTCTTGCCAATGGTGTCTAATATTTCTTTGTGGTTGGGTGAATTGGTACAGTCTGACTCTCCTAATGTCCATTCATTTCAGGATTAACAATGTAGTTAAGAGGGACAGTCCATAAGATTTGTATGTGAAGTAGAGTGGCCCCACTCTGCTTGCAGCTGTTTATCTTGGGACTTTTTCTTTTGAACTCTATAAATATTTATGAGCCATATTGGCTTCATTCTGTGTCCACTCTTAGCAAATTTCTCTTCACTTCCTTTGTCAAGGGTTAAGTATTTTCCTAGTAAACTTGTTGGTTCAACTTTATGCTTTAGTATAAACAGCAAATGCAAATGAAGTGTAAAGCCTAGCATTCTCAGGGAAAAAAAGAATAAATTATGGAGAATTTGTTTGCATTCAGTGAGGCTAAGGAGTTTAGCCAAAAATATTCTAGAGTGCATACTGAGTCACTGACAAAAACAGTCCAGGAATTTTTTTCCCCCTTGCCTTTAAAACTTCAGTCTAAACCTAGCATATTTTGCAAGGTTAAGGGAGGGGGAGCCCAGAAGGTAAAAAGGAGGAAATTCAAACTAGAAGAGTAGAGAGGAAGTCATGAAGTGTTTATCTTTCTTTTCTGAAATTTTATCATAAACTGCAATAGATAAGACTATGCCACTTGTGACTAGTTAAGATAGATCTCAGGGTGCCCCAGTCACATTTCTTTCCACATTGAGAACCTACATATAACAGGTTCATGTATGACTTAGAGAGTCAATGATGTGTTTGAAAGTTGAACTTTAAATTTGTCTGGGATTAAAAGGTGGCCTTCCAATCATTTGGAACCAAGTATCTTTTCTTTGACAGTATTTCCAGGATTCATGATGTAGTGGAAAGGACAGTGACTTTGAAGTCACAAGACCTGGCTTCAAATCCTGGCTTTGCCATTTACATGCTGTGTGAACTTGGAAAAGTAACAACCTCTCTGGACCTCAGTTTCCTCATCTATAAAATATGGGGGGAGGGAGAGGAAATAGACTTAATGATTTCTAATTTCCCTTCCAACTCTCCATCTATTTTCTCATGGCTCTATAACTTTATGAGCCTTCCAGATCTCTTTGAAACTGTGTATCTCATCTTTCAGGTAGCCACAATGAAGGAACTCTGGGTTTGTACAGAGTTTGGGTCTAATCCTGGAATATCTGATTTCCAACCAGGATTGGCTTTCTCTTGATCTCTCTAGATCTTCCCAATTCCAAGGAAATCTCTAAAACAAAGTTTAGATATGGCTTATGTCTACTGTCTCCCTAAAAATGTGGTACCAGGGACTTTCCAGACAAATTACTCAGTGATTGTAGGTATTCACACACAAAACAGCTAGCTGCTCATTTCCACTGCTACATGAATCTTTTTAGCATCCTAAAGATTCAGGGGAGTACAAAAGCTTCAAAGGGGAAATGCAGGAAAAAAACAAGTCAAATGGGCATTACATACATTATTTCTCCCTTGGAATGTTGACATTCAGTCAAGCTCAATTAAGCCAACTTTGAAAGCTTACTGACCAGGCATTTCGCTACCTCAGGTCTGCAATTCTGGCACAATTAACAACATCTAGATATCTTAGCCAGCAAGGTTATAGCTTCCTTTAGGCTTTCAAGTGCAGGATCCTTCTGGGTATGGTGCTCTTCTACTCTGAAAAGTGTGATGTCATTGAAATCACCTCCTTTATTAAGATGATGCCTCAATCTTGAAGTCAGGAGCTCTTGACATTCAAGGTAATCACTGTGACTGAAAATGTCCATTTCTTCAGATTCCTGGTCAATGGCCTGTGCTTAGGGAAAGAAAGAGGGAAGTATAAGAAATCCAGGGACTGAAGGTCTCTTAGACTCTGAATGGCCTTTGTTACAAGTCACCATTCATTTGAGGGGCAGCAGAAAAAATAAATCTCATAGAACTTAAATGTTAAGGTGTGTTAGTAGTAATATACAGAAGCTATGCTTAATTTTTTTCTTTAAAAGGTATTGAAACCTTAATAGTCTCAGGGGCCTGAAGCTCAAGCCGTTGACCCAGGGCACAGAAGAAGCCAAGACATAAAGAGTCAATGCCCCTTAGACTTGGTGGCTACTCTGCTGCCATGTGAGTCACCACACTGTATCCTGATGAATACTGGATTACTGTAAGGTATGTGGTGAAGCAGGGTAAAGGAGAGGGTACACCAACTTCAATTGGTGCCTTGTTGAGTATCCATTCCATGTGATGGCTCAGTATTCTCCCTTTTGTTAATAAGATCTACAAGTTTCTTATTTTATCCCAGTCTCAAACTTATACTATCCAATCAGCCTGAGTTTGATTTAGTCTATAACACCAAAGGGAAAAAAAGTATATACAAAAGGAAAGGTATTAAAAAAAAAAGATTGAGGTTGTGTCCATAGTACCTGATATAGAATACAGAGGTGAGAGGTTTCTCCATAAGAGTTCATCCTCCCTGACATTAAATCAATAATCATATTTGATGCAACCATCTCTCCACAGTCACTGGAGACCAATCATGGTTACTGTGTTATGCTGAAACACATATTAATCAATTGGTTAATATTTATAAAGCACATACCATGGCTGGTCTCTGTGTTAAGTATTTAGTATCCCCAAGTAAAGGGCCAGAGCATAGTCCATTTTGGAAAAAAACAAGTTTTCCAGTCTAGAAAAAACACAGGTTCCTGATCACTCATGCTACAAAGAAAGGCAAGGAGAGAACATTGTCACTGCTCTCCTAGAAAGCTGTTCTAACCAGTGCTAACAGGGCTGAAGAGAACATTCTTTTTCTCAGGAGAGAAAGATAAGGAAAAATTTTTAAAAGATAAAAGACTCTTTAGAACAGGATCTACTGGAATGGAGGTTTGTGTTCTCATCTAGACACTCCCAAGTCAAGAGCCATGGAAATTATCATGAGGTCTTAAACTAGACCTGAAGAAAACCTTGGAATGAAAAAGTTCATCTAGCCTTTTAACCTTAATCTCCCCATTATGCTGCTACTGTACTTGACAGGTTCTTTTTTAATCCACCTTCTCATTCAGTTCTCTCTGGGGCCAGGAACAAGAAGGACTGCAAAAATTAACGAGGCTTCAGAAATATTTATAGAGCGCATAAAAATGTGAGTCATGGGACATTCTCATTGCTTAACCAGAGGTCAGTATTGGATGTTATCCAACAGAGAGAAGTCCAGGCACTAGACAGAAGTTGCCTGAATTGGTACTTCTAGGCATGGCTTGGGATTCCACACAGTGATCAAGGACAAAGTCATATCCTGATCCATGAAACTCATGAGATAATATACAGGGCACATATTATTACTTCAATTTTACAAATGAAGAAAGTGAGGCTCACAGTCTCGATAGCCTTGCTTAGGATCTCTTCCCTAACCAATAAGTGGTACAGTTAGAATTAGGATTCCAGTTTTCTGACTCTCTAATTCTAGTTTTGTTCAGCCATAAGATCACAGGATCACATTTTTAAAGTTGGAAGTTACCTTAAAAGTAATATATTCCAACCCCTTCATTTTAGAGAGAAAAACAAATTAAAACAGTTTTGGGGTTCTATTTCACGTGCAACAGATTGGGAAAAAATGACAAAAATAGAATAAAATGTTCAGTGTTGAAGAAAGAGAGCAGGGACATTCATCATAGAGCCGTGAAGTGGTCTAGACATTGTATAAATCATTTGAAAACCATACTCAGCCCCACAAAGACATGAAACTTTGTAGTTCTTTGAATCAGAGAGATCCCTACTAGGCCTGTATTGCAAAGCTCTCTTTATTATAGAAAAAGCTTGGAAACTAAAGGGCTGCCCATCAATTGGGGAATGCCTGAACACATTATGGCTTATTAATATAATGGAATATTATTATACTTAAAGAAATGATGAAAGAAACAAGTTTTGGGAGCATTGGACAAGGCTTGAATAAAATGGCTCAAAATGAAGTGATCAGAATACAGACAACAAGTTATACAGACAACAACAACATTGTAAAGCCAAACAACCTTGAGAGACTTAAAAATTTTGATCAATTCAATGAGCAACCATGATTCCAAAGAGCTGATGTCGAAAGACATTCCCCACCTCCTGAAAACAAAAGAATCAATTTAATGTACACAATGAGACATGCATTTTCAGACACAGAAAACTAGGGACTTTTTTTTTTTGCTTGATTATGAATACTTGATACAAATATTTTGTTTTTCTTTCTTTTGATGGAGGGAATTTGGGGAGAGAATAGTTGTAAGGAGAGCTAATAAGTGAAAAGAAAAGGAAAGAAAATAGCAAGAGTCATAGAAATCTGTTAAAAATAGAGAAAAAGGGGACAGCTAGGTGGTACAGTGAATAGAGCAGTGGCCCTGAGGTCAGGAGGACCTGAATTCAAATCTGGCCTCAGACCAAACACTTGACACTTACTAGCTGTGTGACCCTGTGCAAGTCACTTAACCCCAATTGCCTAAAAATATATAGAGAAAAGAACAGAAGAAACCGGCAAGCAAGACATCTTTAAAAAAAGAAAACAAACAAAACCATGCTGAATGTGTCATATGCTTAAAAAGAAAAGAAAGCTATTTATAATATAGATCTGCAGCCTTATGTGTTTGATCCTATTTTCTCATCTGCTGGGAATGCACATCTTAGTTTTGAGTTGCTTAAGTTCAGACCATAAACATCTCTGTGTGTATGTGTGTGTGTGTGTGTGTTGTTGTTGTTGTTGTTGTTGTTCATCCTTCAGTTCTTCAGAGAGGACCAATGACATCATGGGGTGATGTCCTAACTTTCAGGTGAATTGGATTTAAGCAAGGCAGAGCTGCACAAAGTCATCAGCCTCACTATATTTTCCAGAGTCATCAGATCCATTGGCAAGACGAAAGTCAGGACAACTGGGGATGGCCCAGGATGCAGGTGATGATCCTGGTGCCTTACATGTCTGACCAAGCTCTAAGCACTCCATACTGCCAGCTTCAGCCGCCTTCTTGGCCATTGGGGGAATTTGTTGGGGGAATTGGGGGGAATCTTCATATCCTTGGAGTAGACAACCCCCTATCTCACCAATAGATTTAAGACCTGTCCGCCCCCAACCTGGTTTAGCCCATCTGCCACCTTGGTTTTTATTGAAGTATAGCCTTGGATGATAGAGCTTCTTGGAGCCACAAGTGAGAGTCATCTTGAAAAGGGCTCAGAAAGCCCTCATACCAGAGGTGCTACTCCTCCACGAACACCCCATACACCCTGTGTGCATATGTGTGTGTACACACATGTATTTACATTCTCAACCTAACTTATACACACACGTATGTATTAGCTTTAAATTCACCACTTTGTAGAAAAATAATTACATTATGATATGTTTTTATAAAGAATATCATGAAATAAACAAAATAAAAATAAGTACAAAAGAAGAAATCTTAAACATTAGAGGATAAATAGACACATTGGAAGTCAGTTATAGAAGTGATGAACAGGACTAGATGATGGTTTTACCTTTATTTGTGCCTGCAGAACTCAGCTAGTGGCTGGCATATACTAAGTGCTCAGTAAATGATTATCGGTGATAGCTAGGTGACATAGTGGTTAGAGCACCAGCCCTGGAGTCAAGAGGATCTGAGTTCAAATCTAGTCTTAGATACTTACTAGCTGTGTGACCCTGGGCAAGTCACCTAACTCTGATTGCCCCCCCAAAAAAATATAGATAGATAAATAAATAAATGATAACTGATTGAATGAATATCCTAGTTTCTCAGTCAAAGTGAACAGAGAAAGAGTGGTTTCTTCCCTTGAAAAAGATGGCAACCAAATGCAGACTGATTCTAATCCCTGGCCATGTTCAAAAGAAGATATGGACCTTGAAAAGGACAATGTAGAGCAAGGTGAAATATAAAATAACTCTTCAACAAACTGTGTACCCCATTGGGTCCAGAGTAGATGGAACTGAAGGCTAGAGTGAATTTTCCTAGCCTTTGGACCCCACAATATTTTTATTTTATTTTTTTCCATATCAACAGCAATAAGAAAGAAAAAAGAATTTAAATCTTTAAAGATAAATTAAGAAGAGATCATTCTATTTCTTTTCTCTGATAATATAATAGCAACAATTTGAAATTTCCTAGGGAATCAGCAAAGGAACAAATAGAGAAAACAAATAACTTCAGTAAAATTCAAATCTACAAAAAACCCCATAAACATTAATAACATTTCTATAAAGCAATAAAAAATACAGGAGGCAAAAATAGAAAGTCCCACTCAAAATAACTACAAAATGCATAAAATATGTGGAATTCAAGGGAACCAATCTGCCAAACCACATCTAATAACTCTACACATGCAATTACGCAAGTCTCCTTTAAAAAAGCAAAACAAACAAACAAAAAAACGCAACTAACAAATAATTGGAGAGATATTCTTCACTTGTTGCTGGACCGTGCCAATATGATAAAAAAAGACAATACTTTTTGTTTTAATTTACAAATTTAAGGATAAACTGAACAAATCAAGTCCAGAATAAAATATAAAGTCATCAGTTTGTTGTTCAAAGCCCTTTGTAGATATGTATATAGTAGATAGCCTGGCTACATCCCACTTTTCCTTATATCTTTGTAGCAGTGATTACTCTGACTCCCACTGCCTGCAGATCAGGTGTGTTAAATTTCAGCCCTTCCTCAGTTCTCTCCAGTAATGTTAAGGGGGTGAGGAGGTGTGTGATCTCTACCATTGGCTCAGTCCCCCACTGATTGTGGTCTTCAGGTTTAGGGGGTCTCCAGTCCCAGTTCCCTTTAACTACTTAACAATCAGA